AAAGCAAGAAAAGGACAACAGAGGCATCCAGGTCCCGGAACTGAACTTGGAGACATTCCTCACGTGGGAGTGAGGGTTCCGTCCTCTTAGATGACCAGGGATTTGGTCAGGGTGGCCATGGACTGAATTTCCATCCTAAATACCCCCCTTACACACAAAAGCATATGCAGGAATGGTCATAGCAGTGTTATGCATTGTAGCCAAGAAGAAAGGCAACCCAAATGCCCATCAATGGCTGAATGGACAAATCAAATGTATTCCATTTATACAATGGAATATTATTTGGAAACAAAAAGAAATAAAGTAGCAATACATGCTACAACATGGGTGAACCTTGGAAGCACCACGCTGAGTGAAAGAAGCCAGCCATAAAGGACCCCATATCGCATGATTCCATTCACGTGAAATACAACTGCAACTTCAGGACAGACAAATCCAGAGAGACCGAGAATAGGTTAGGGCTGGGGGAACGACAGCTAAGGGGTGCAAGGTTTCTTTATATCTTTGTGTTTCACTTTAGGCTAATGAAAAAGTTCTAAAATTGATTTTGGTGACGGATGCGCAACTCTGTCAATGTACTTAAAGCCATTGACTCGTACACTAAGCGTATGAATCGTACAAAATGTGTATCTCAATAAAGCTACTGGAAAAAAAAGAAAGAAGGAAGACCTCTCTGGATCTACTCAGTTCTGCTTTCTGTTTTGTTTTGTTTTATTTTTAAGACAGGGTCTCTTGCTCTGTGGCCCAGGCTGGAGCGCAGTGGCACAATTCCAGCTCACTGAAGCCTCAACATCTAGGATCAACCAATTCTCCTGCCTCAGCCTCCAGAGCATCTGGGCCTATAAGCACACATCACCACCTATGGCCTCAGCTCTGCATTTCTGAGATTCAGTCTCTCCTACTCCCCACCAACACCACCCTGTACCTTACCTGGGATCCAGACTTACATTAAAAAGAAGAGGAGGCACAGACAGAGAGAGAACAGGGCCATGACACCAGCACCTCCAAGGGCTGCAGGAACCACCTGTGCCCCGAGGTTCGATCTCCCTGCAGAAAAGAGGGTCATGCAATAACTCGCTCCTAGGACTCAGACTCTTGTCCTCCCACCTTCTGGGCAACTTGCTCCAGGCCCCTACTCAGCCAGGAGATGAAGAACCCGGTTCTCCCAGCACCAGTCCAGCCTCTCTCTCTCACTTCCATCACTCTGGGACCCATGCCCCTCCCCTGAGGCCCCTGCCCTCTGCAATACACCCCCTGACCTGGCAGCAGCAGGACGAAGCCACTCTGGGACCCGTAGATGTTCTGGGCCTTGCAGCTGACTTTCAGGCTGGAGTCGAACCGCCCGTGGAGGATCAGGGAGCTGTTGGCCCAGGGCCTGGCCGAGCTGGAGTTGACCTTGAAGGAGGCCTGGCTGCTGTTCCCCTCCAGCAGCTCCTCCCCGAGCCACCAGTGCACAGAAGGGGCCGGCTGGGCTCGGAAGGAGCAGCTGCAGTGTAGACCATCAGCCTCCCAGGAGCAGGAGGGGCCCAGCAGCTGTGGGGAATCTGTGGGGAGGGAGGACAGGACTCAGCAGGGAGCCTCTTACTTCTCTAACACCATGCAGTTCCTGCTCCAGCTGCCCCCACACTCACAGAAAACTGAGAGATTCAGAAAAATTTGCAAGGAGCCCAGCGGGTGCTGAGCATGGCAGGTGAAGCCTCCTTCCTCTGCAGACCCTACTTGAGGAAGCTCCAAGATCCCAGTATTGGAGATGGGGGTGGCGTTCGGGGCAGGGGAGCCCTGGAACCAGCTCAGGTGTGCAGGGGGGTTGCTGTCAGCATCACAGAGAAGCCGCAGAGCCTGACCCTCCAGGACCGGAAGGAACGAGGTGTTTTGCAGGATTTCTAGAGCTTTGGGGAGACAGAGGGGGAGAAAGAGAGATGGGGCCAGGGAGGCCAACAGTCCCTGTCCTTCCCTCCTTCCCAGAATCCAGGACTTCCCTCTCCTCCCCTGACCCATGCTGGTTCCATCCTGATTCAAAGACTGGGCCTTTGCACACTCAGGAAACGGATCAAAAGTGTCTGGGTCTCATGTCTCCAGAGGAGGCTCAACATCTCACTGGTACATGCCTGGACTGAGGTGGAGAAAGGACAAACCCCCCCGTGGCATTGGGAAATACATTCTGCTAATGTAGCAGGAATTAAGACTAAGGATGCTGGAGTTTCCTGAAGGGTGAGACGAAAAGAACCACAGAGCTGGGCCGACTGGGATGAGGGGGCATAGATTGATCCTTGGTGACTGTGGGAAGAACCAGACCACAGGAGGGTGGGAGACGGGAGGGGTCGAAAGTCTGTTCACAGCTTTGAGCAGTGTGCATGAGTGTGCACCTGTGTGCGTGCGCGTGTGTATGTGCATGTGTGTGTATGTGCATGTATATGTGTGTGTGTGGTGTATGCACGTGTGTGGCGTATGAGCATGTGTGTGTGTGTGGTGTATGAGCATGTGTGTGTGTATATGTGCATGTATGTGGCATATGTGCGTGTGTGTGCGCAGTGTATGAGTATGTGTGTGCATGTGGTATATGTGCATGTGTGTGTGTGTGTGGTGTATGAGCATATGTGCATGTCTGGTATATGTGCATGTGTGTGGTGTGTGTGCATGTGTGCGTGTGTGGTGTATGAGCATGTGTGCGTGTGTGCCTGCACATGGAGCTCACAGAAGTTGGAAGCCAGAGAGTGGTAATTCTCATTCTTGCTCTTCCCAAATCTGATTCCATTCAAGCTCTGATTCTCTACCTCTGCTGAGAGACGGACCCAGAGTCAGGTCCCAGCTTCAGAGAGGAGAGGGTCTTTCCTACCTATGCCATTCCTGAAGATGATGATGTTCTGTGGAGCATCTGGGATAAAAAGACATAAACTTGGCTTCAGCATTGAGGAGTGAGATGGGCATGGGCTGCAGGGGCACCCAAAGAGGGGCCACAGAAACCAGCAAGTGGGGAAGGTTGTTCCTGCCCGCCCCCCAGATCCCAAGGCTCAGATCCACACACAAGGTTTCTCAAGTTATTGTTTTGTCTTTCTCTCTCTCTCTTCCTTACACACACACACCCCCCTCACTCCCACTGCCCTTGAGGACCAAGCTGTGTCCCCGCCACCACTCACAGGAGACATTGAGCTGGACAGTTCTCTGCGTGGTCACCTCAGCTCGGGTCACCTCAGCTCCTCGGAGTTTCACCTGACAGGTGAGGTTGGTGCCATGGTCCTTGGGCCTCGGAGTGAAGGTGAGAACTGGGAAGCTGGTGGTCTTGGGGTGCTGGGGACTGAGGGCATCACCCGTCCAGGAGAATGTGAGAGGTCGTCCCGCTTCACAGGATCCTGGAAGGCTGCAGTTCAGCCTTGTGGGGCGGCCAGACTCCAGAGGCTCCAGAAAGTGGACGTCAGGTTTCTCTGTCAGGGCTGAGGAGGAGACAGGGAGATGCCTGGGCCCCAGGGCGTGGGGACACACAGTGTGACCCTGACAGTGGCGAGGCCTCAGGCCCCGAGCTGCCCTAAGTCCTGCACATCCTCCAACCGCCCCTGCCCAAGTCCCGTCCCTGTTCTCATTCGGGGTCTCCACGCCCCAGGGTCCTCTTCTAGGGTCCCTCCATACCTGTCACCTCCAAGTTCAGCTTATTCTCTTTGTAGTTATATTTTAAATTTCTTCTCTCCATGCGGAAGAAATAGCKTCCCGTGTCCTCCATTCTGGCATCTTCTATTTTCAGGGAGCAGACATTCTTCTGGACATCCCCAAGGAGGTGGAATCGGCCCCGGGTCTCTTGCTTCGTAGTTCTGTCTGGGTTGTTTGTGGCCACAGGCTCACCTTGGTTTACGTCCTCCCCATCCTGGAACCAGTAGACGTAGAGTGGATCATAGTAATAGTAATGCCAGGAGCCCGTCGGGTAAGAGAAGGAGCAGTTCACCAGGACGCACAGCCCCTCCTGCACCGTCACCGACTTCTGCACTCGCAGCTCATACGTTGCCCTCTGCTGCAGGGACCCTGGGGGGACACAGAGGCTCAGCTGCAACTCCAGCCCCCTTCCCACCCCGTGCCTGTTCCTCCTCCCTCAGCTTACTCACCCCCCCCACAGCAGGGCCAGCAGCAGCAGGGGCAGCATGTCTGCCTCTGCCAGGGCCCCAACTGGGTCCCAGGCCCCTCTGTCAGGGAAGGAATCACCCCAAATGTCCAAATGTGGGGTGGGGCTGAGAAAGCCCCAACAGGAAGCCGATGGGTGAGTGAGAGCTGTGGTCATTCCCGGAAAGGGAACTTGAGCACCACGTGCTGTCGGGTGAGGCAGGGGCTGGGAAACCATCCTCCTCCCACCCCCACTGGGCACTGCAGGTGAAGATACTGAGGTCCCCTAGAGGGGCTTGTCCAGACTTATAAGTCTAGACTCCTGAGTTCCCCAGGTCCCATAGCTAGAGCACTTTCCTTGTGCACCATTGTCTACACAGGAAGGAGAACACCACCTGGCTAGCTCTGTGGGAGTCAGGGCCTCTGGACCCTCAGAGAGATGGGAGAATAAATTCTTTATGACATGGTAGGAGCTGTGGTAAGGGAAGCACAGGCTGGGGGTTTCAGGTGGGGAAGACTTTCCTCTTTCCAGAGGGAAGTCAAGTTCTCAGGGACAAACACATCAGGTGGACATGACCGGGTCCTTAGCAGTCAAGAGAGATGTGGTTCCCACCACACCTTGGATTTGGGTCCTTGATCTCACCATTGTCCTTGTCCTAGGCAGCGTCAGACTCTAGCCCTGGTGCTGACAGCCAGGTGAGGCATGTGAGCCAGGCATTTGAAATTTAGAAGTTGAGGACATGGAATGCCAAGTGTGAACCCAGATCCCTCACCTACCAGCTGTTGGACTTTACAAAAGTTACCTACCCTCTCTGTGCCTCTGTTTGCTCAGCTGAAAAATACAGACCATACTAGAATTGCTGTGTGGGGATTCAGTGAGGTCTCCTATGTAAAGTGCTTAGGACAGTGCCTGGCCCTGAGAATTCACCCATTCAATGGATGCTTCATGGGCCCCTGTGGTGCACCAGGCCCCCTGTTTTAGGAGCTGGAGATACAGCAAAGGATACCGTCTTCAATTGAGAAGGTAAGTCAAAAATCCTAGTGGGGACTCCTCTGGGCACGCTGCCCAGGGTACCCATGCTCCACGAAGAGCAGTAAAATAAATAAATAATAATAATAACAATCCTAGTGGGAAGACAGACATTTAATATGAAATTAAAATACACAGTCTGCTGAAGAATGATATAGTCTAAGAAAAAAATAAAAACAGGAACACAGAAGAGGAATCATTGGGCCTGATAAAATTTTTTACAACATGGCTTGGGGGGCACTTGGAAGAGACGACATTTGAGCAAAGATGCAAAGGGCATGTGGGGATGAGTCCACTGGTATCTGGGCAAAGGCGGGTGCATTCCAAGGGAATGGTACGTTTAAAAGTCCCAAGGTAGAAACACACGTGGTGTGCTTGGAAAACCGCCATATGGAGCATGGAGGTGTGATCAGTGGGGAACGGGGGAGGAAGGAAGGTCTGGGAGGTGTCCTGGGTCTGATCATGAAGAGATGTGGGAGCTGTCAAAAGAACTTCACTTTTCTCTTGTCCAGCTAGGCTCGGGAGGGTGTCAAAGAAAGGAAGAAGAAGAAGAAGAAGGAGGAGGAGGTTCCTGCTGGGCCAGAAACCCTTAAGAAAAAGGTGAGGAATTTCACAGAGCTGAAGATCGTGCACCTGAGAAGGAAGTTTGCCCAAAAGATGCGTCGAAAAACAAGGAGGAAGCTTATCTCAGAAAAGCTAAGCACTATCCCAGGGAATACAGGCAGATGCACAGACCTGAAATTTGAATGTGTGGATGGCAAGAAAAGCTGGCAGGTTCTATGCACCTGCAGAACCCAAATTGGCCTTTGTCATCAGCATCAGAGGTGTCAATGGTGTGAGCCCAAAGGTCCAAAAGGTGTTGCAGCTTCTTCTCCTTCGTCAAATCTCCAATAGAACCTTTGTGAAGCTCAACGAAGGATCAATTAACATGCTCTGAGGAGTGCAGAACCACGTAACACGTGGGGGCCCCAAACCTGAAGTCAGTTTTGAACTACATGAACTACTCTACAAGTGTGGTTATGACAAAATCAATCAGAAGCAAGTTGCTTTGACAGATAAGGCTTTGAATGTTTGATAAATATGTAAATATAGCATCATCCGCATGGAGGATCTGATTCATGAGATCTGTACTGCCGGAAAATGCTTTGAAGACGCAAATAACTTTCTGTGGCCCTTCAAATTATCCTCTCCACAAGGAAGAATAAGGAAAGAGACCACCCATTTTGGAGAAGGTGGAGATGCTGGCAACAGGGAGGATCAGACCAACAGGCTTCTTAGAAGAATAAACTATCTACCGCGATTATTTTTCTAATCTGGTCAGTTAATAAGCAGTACCCACTTTCAAACTGAAAACAAAACTTGACTTCTGCTGAGTGTATCCGCCAGGGTTCTCCAGAGAAACAGAACCAGTGGGGGGGGGGGTGTTGTTGTGGGGGCTGAGTGGGTGTGGGTGTATTTATTATAAGAAATTGGCTCACACAATTATAGAAGCAGACAAGTCCCAAGATCCTCAGTCAGCAAGCTGGAGACCTGGGAGAGCTGAAAGTGTAGCTCCGGTCCACAAGCTTCCAGGCTGGAGATCTAGGAAGAGCCACAGTTTCAGCTCAAGTCCAAAGGCAGGAGGACACTCGGGTCCAGGCTTGCAGGTAGTGAGGCAAAAGGAGTTGTTGCCCTTCCTCACAGGAGGGCCAGCCTCTTTGCTCTAGCCAGGCCTTCAACTGACTGGTCAAGGCTCACCCATCCCGAGGAGGACAATCTGATTTACTTAAAGTCTACTGATTTGTTTATTAAAAAAAATTTTTTTTGAGATGGCATTTCACTCTTGTTACCCAGGCTGGAGTGCAATGGCGCGATCTCGGCTCACCGCAACTTCTGCCTCCCGGGTTCAAGTGATTCTCCTGCCTCAGCCTCCCAAGTAGCTGGGACTACGGGCACATGTCACCATGCCCAGCTAATGCTTTGTATTTTTAGTCGAGATGAGGTTTCACAGTGTTAGCCAGGATGGTCTCAATCTCTTGACCTCGTGATCCGCCTGCCTCAGCCTCCCAAAGTGCATTACAGGTGTAGGCCACTGTACCCAGCCAAGTCTACTGATTTAAATGTTAATCTCATCCCAAAACACCCTCACAGGAAAACACTCAGAATAGTATTTGAGCAAATGCCAGGGCACTCTATGGCCCTGTCAAGTGGAGACTTAAAATTAACCATCACACTGAGCAAATTGTGATGACAGGGGTTGAACGGAGAAGGGGCAGGATTTTGTTTGTTTTTACCTGATCCCTCTGCTTGCTTTCCTGAGACTAGACTCTGCTGAACTGTTGCAATGCCTGGGATGTGAGAGGAGGGTGCTCAGGTCTGCGAGGACACAGCAGAGGTGGTGAGAAGAGGGGGAGTTAACAGTATTTGTGAACAGATCAGACGCACATGGGAAGAGAGGGAAAAGGGCCACACATAATGCCAGTGTTGTCCACCCGAGCAGTTGCAGGCTTGAAGCTGCCATTGCCAGAAGAGGAAAAGACTTGAAGAATTGGGAGCTCCGCTTGGGGCGTATGGGGTTAGATGAGCTTATTAGACATACAAGTGGAGGGAAAAGGAAAGGGTGAGATCTGTGGGTCTGGAATTCAGGAAAAAGTTCTGGCTGGAGAGAAAAGTGGAGTCTTTCATGTTCAAAGAGTGTCTGCAGCTGTGAGCCTGAGTGATATCACAAAGGGCATGAGAGTATGTATGTATGCATGTACGTATGTATGTACTTGTGTGTATGTATGTACGTATGTATGTACGTGTGTGTACGTGTTTGTGTACTTGTGTGTGTGTACATATGTACATACATACATACATATGTATTTAAGACAGGGTCTAGCTGTCACCCAGGCTGGAGTGCATGGTGCAGTCATAGCTCACTGCAGCCTCAATTTCCCAGGCTCAAGTGAGACTCACCTCAGCCACTTGAGTAGCTAGGACTACAAGTGCACACCACCATGCCTGGCTAATTTTTTTTAAGTAAAGATGAAGGTTCCACTATGTGACCCAGGCTAATCTTGAACTCCTAGCCTCCAGTGATCCCCCTGCCTCAGCCTCCCAAAGTGCTGGGGTTATGGCTGTGAGCCACCATGCCCGGCCGGGGCATGAGTTTAAGTGAAAAATGGACAGAGACCATCTCCAGGGCTTCTATGATCTGGATATCAGACTCACTTTCCCACTGAAAATAACTAAAAATACAGGGAAGATAATTAATGCAGATCTTCTTAAAACCATGGACGTGCCAACAAGAGAGAAGAATTTTCAGTCAGAACTGTAAGAGATGGCAGGATCCAAGAGACGGACCCAGAGCACCAAAGTCACACATGCCCTTCAGGAATTTTGAATGTGGGGAACTTGAATGTGGGGTTTCCTGGACCTGAGGATCAGAGTCAGACTACCCACCAGGTGGAGGGGAAGGTACAGGGGTCGTGGTCACACTCTCTTTCTGCACACTCCCAGGCTCTGTCCAGGGGAATGAAGCTCAAGTGCAGCCTCCCACCCTCTGGCTGCTGCCCCAGTCAATGGAGGAGAGGCCAGAAGCACCTCTAGGCTGGAGGAGACCCTGCCTAAGACCCTGCCCTGGAATCACCTCATTCTCAAAAAAAAAAAAAAAAGGCATTTTCTCCTGGATCCAGCACAGCACATTCTAGACTTCCTGTCCCACCTGAAATGAATGGCGAGAAGCTGAGAATCACTTGTGAAGGCTGTAACCCGGACACAGGTCCCCTAAAAGACTGATATTTAATCACGGCATGTTTGATAATGAATTGCAAAACTATACAGACCCTAATTCCTAGAACCTGTGAATGTGACCTTCCGTGGCAAAAGAGACTTTGATGGTTTAATTAAGGATCTGAAGATGCGGAGATCAATTTGAATTACCTAAGTGGAACTTAAATGTAACTGCTGGGGTCCCTAAAAGACAGGCAGAGGGAGATTTGATACAAAAGAGGAGAAGACCAAATGATGATGGAAGCAGAGATCAGAGTGACGGAGGAAGGGGCCGCAGCCACGGCGTACACGAGGCCTCCAGAAGCTGAAAAGGGCAAGAAAAATGATTCTCCCCTGAAGGCTCCAGAAGGAAGCAGCGCTACCAACCCCTCAGTATTAGCCCAGCAAAACTGATTTGGCACTTTTGACCT